ACACACTCACACACACTCACACACACACTCACACACACACTCACACACACACTCACACACACGCACACACACTCACACACACTCACACACACACTCACACACACTCACACACACACTCACACACACTCACACACACACTCACACACACACACGACTCAATATGGAGTTACCCTCCCTCCCCATTCACAATTTAAGCTACCCATCCTCAGTTTCATGGCAAAACATTAGGTGGAAAATTCTAAGAGCAAGCAACTCATTCGTTTTAAATTGTGCAGCTATTTCAAGTAATGTAATGAAATCCCATGCTGACCTATGCCACAGCCCTCTGCCCCCTCTATCCATGATGTCTGTCACCCCTTGGTATAGTGTGCCTTGCATCTTGGCTGTCTACCCCACCCACCCATTCAGTAGTCAGGCTGTAGCTTATCTTATCACTGCTCTGATATTGGAGCTATCACAGCAAGCAGTACCTACGTTCAGGTAACCATTGCTTTAATAGTGATGGTGCCGAAGCACAGCAGCACAGAGGCAGAAAGCTCAGATACGGAAGAACAAAAGCTACGCTGTGCTTCCTCAGGAAAGAGAAAACTCACAAGCTGAGGTGCTAAAAAGCCTTCCATAAAACTATGAGGATGAAAGAAAGTTAAGCCAGAACAGTGAACACCAGCATGATACGATGCTTGGAGAAAGAACATCCTAGTTAGGCTTGTTTCTATGGCTGTGGCAGACACCATGAGCTTGGGGAGGAAAGGGTTTATTTGCTTTACACATCCCAGGTCACACTCCATCACTGACCGAAGTCAAAGCCGGAACTCAAGGCAGGAATGTGGAGGCCGGGACTGAAGGAATGCTGCTTGCTGGCTTGCTTCCCATGGCTTGCTCAGCCTGCTTTCTTATACACCCCAGGACTGCCCGCCCAGGGATGGCACCACTCAAGGTGAGCTGGGCCTCGCTATCAGTCATTACTCAGGACAATGCCCTACAGACATGCCCCCAGGTCAATCAGATGGAGGTGATTCCTCAACTGAGGGCCCCTCTTTCCAGGACAGTCTAGCTTGCATTAAGTTGACCAAAAACTGCACAACACAAAGAGAAAAAGCAGAGAAGATTCATTGAAGTTGCATTACAGTGTAATATCGTAATTGCTTATTTCATTATATGCTGTGAATCTCTTACCAGGTGAGATAGCTTGAATGTAACTGACCCTCATGAGCCCATAGGGAGTGGCACTCTCGGGAGGTGTGGCCTTGTTGAAGGAGGTGTGGCCTTGTTGAAGGAAGTGAGTCACTGTGGGGGCAGACTTTGAGGTCTCTTTGGCTCAAGTTTTACTCAATGTGACACTTAGAATACACTTCCTGTTGGCCATGCCAGGGTGGCACACGCCTTTAATCCCAGCACTCGGGAGGCAGAGGCAGGCAGATCTCTGTGAGTTCGAGGCTGGGCTGGACTGACAGCCTCCAAAACAATATAGAGAAACCCTGTCTCGTAAAACCAAAAAAAAAAAAAAAAAAAAAGAATATACTTCCTGTTACCTGCAGGATGTAGGACTCACTGTCTACTTGCTGTTGCCTTCTGATCAAGATGTAGCCAGCACCATGTCTGCCTACATGCTGCCATGATCCTCACCATGATGATAATAATGGACTGAACCTCTGAAACTGTAAGCCAGCTACTGCAATTAAACGTTTTCCTTTATAAGAGTTGCAGTAGAAACCCTAACTTAACACCAAGCTTAATTTACAAACCAAATTTCACAATTGGAATGCATCTACAAGGGGAAAAAGCATGATCTAATAGGAATCTGTGCTACCTCTGGCTTCATACACCCACTGAGGGGCATCTTCTGAGACCAGCATGCTCTAGGCAGGGCTGTCCAACCTTTTGACATCTACAAACAATCTGGGCTGCTCATAGCTCTTATGGGACCGCAGGTTGGACAAACACTGGTGTGAAGTCATTAACAGCAGCTTTATTCCAAGGAGGAAATCAAGGCTCAGTGAGTTAGGCTATTCTGGTAAGAAGTATAAGCCAGGATACAAATGTGGGTTACCAGGTGGCCAAGGCTGTGCCCTGCCCTGTGTTCTGTGGCCCTTGTCCCCACTCTAAAGGTTTCAGAGCCCTGGAGATCCTCTAATCTTGTTCCAGGAAGAAATGGAGAAAATGTGATCTTGTAATTTAAAAAGAGAACTCTTAATTTCTGGCTTTGCCTGTCTATAGACTGCTACACCCGGTTCCCCAGACTCCTGGGTGTGTCCCCTACTCAGTGCCACATCTTCCCTAGACGGGGCTCTTGGCTTCTCTGATTCTTCTGCTTCACCATCATATGTCTTAAAAATAATTTTAATGTGCTTTTCCCTCTCTGTTGGGAAAGTTATACATATTGATGATAAATATCTGAGCAGATGCAATCTAGGAAAAGAGAGAAAGGAAACAAGTAGCAAAGGTCTTGGTTCAGTCGCCATCAAATCTGCAGTGCTCATTCTTCCATCTTTCCTCTGATCTATTGCCTTTGAAAAATTTAAATCACTGTGCATGCCTACAGCCCCTACATTCCGGAGGAAGGAGCAGAATACCAAGAGTTTGAAAACCCCTGGACTACATAACAAGTTCAAGGCCAGCCTGAAGCACATAGGGAAACACCGTCAAGAAAACAAATGTTGGGGATGTAGTCCGGTGGTAGAGTGCTTGCCTGGCATTTGCAAGCCACTGGGTTCAATCCCAGAACTGGGGACTGAAAACCAACTGGAATTCTTTCGTATTTGGAACTCTATGTAGATCAGGTTGACCTCGATTTCACAGAGATCCACTTGCCTCTGCCTCCCAAGTATTGGGATTTAAAGGTGTGCACCATCATGCCTAGCTTGAAAACTGCTTTTTAAGGCGGGGTGTGGGTTGTAATATAGAGTTCTATGATAGCCAGGGTTACATAAAGAGACCCTGTCTCAAAAGAAAACCACACACACACACACACACACACACACACACACACACACACACACACACCCTGCTTTTTAATTGAATACTATATTGCAGACATTATGTCTAATTTTTCTTTTTATATAGTCATTTATTATTGTGGTGGTTAATCTTGATGGTGAATTGGGTTGGATTGAACGACACCTAAGAATTTAGTAAAGATCACGTCTGCATGTGTGTATGTGGAAATAACCAGAAAGAATGACTTTAGTGGGGGAGATGAGTGTCACCAGTTGGTAAGATGCCCCTGGATGAGGTATAGGAAGAGTCCTAGCTCAGGTACTATCTGCTTCCATGTGTGATGCTCTTCGCTGCCTTACCTTCCTCACCATGAGGAGCTGATGCCTCTGAAACCATGAACCAAACAAATCTGTCCTCACTAAAGTTGTTTTTCTGGGCTGGAGAGACGGTTCAATGGTTAAGAGCACTGACTGTTCTTTCACAGGGTCGAGGTTCAATTCCCAGCACCCACATGACAGCTCACAACTGTCTGTAATTCTAGTTCCAGGGGACTTGACACCCATGACAAAACACCAATGCACATAAAATAAAAATAAATGTAAAGTTGATTTTCTCTAATTTTTGCCACAGTGACACCAAATTACAATTATAGAACATTCAGTCATGCAGAGACACCATAATCTTGTTTCTAAATCTCTTTGCCACTGTACACGCTGTTGAAATGAAAATTCATATTGCTAAAATGATGTATAGTCTTGAGATGCATTCCTAAAAGTAAACTAGCTAGGTAAGAAGCTCTATAAGAAGCTCTATAAAAAAGGCAACACTTCCGCAAACTATACTAAGAGCCTCACGGAAAGTCAGTCAGTTTCCGCTGTCAGCACTATGGAGGTTTCCTTGCACTGGTATGCAAACATAACATTTTGCTTTAATTAGCATTGCTTTGGCTACCCAGATTCTTTCTTTGGAAATCATGCCTTTGTGCCTTTTATTCTCTTTCCTATTTTCTGGATGATTTGGATGATTCATCTCTAAACTGGCATCCAACCAACCCACAAGAGGGTAAAGTCCCAAAAGACCAGACACCCAAAGTAGTGAGGCTGTATGCACCCTGCGGCTCTAGGCTTCCCTTTACTCTGAACAGGAGTAGCATGGGAAATTCTCCATCTGCTTCTCCGGACATGTGGAGACATCTGGAAGGATGGTGCACCTCTGTCTTTTCTGACTTATTCTATCAGCTCCTGTCAGAATAAGTCAGGAAAGGGACTTGAGAGCTGACCTGGCAGTTAAGAGCACTTGCTGCTCTTGCAGAAGACCCAAGTTCAATTCCTAGCATCTGCATCAGGTGGCTCATAACCATGTGCAACTCCAGCTCCAATGGATTTAAGCCTTCTTCTGGCCTCTGAGGGAACACATACATTCACACACACACACACACACACACACACACATGCACATACATGTACATACACCACACACATGAGAAATAAAAATAAAACAACTAAAAGAAAAAAGAAAGGAGTTAGGGTAATGGTACAGGGGCTAAAAGTGCTTGATGTGAAACCAAGAGGTCTTGAGTTCAAGTCCTGATCAGCCACATAAAAGCTGGGCATGGCCACACAGGCCTGTAACCCAAGCATTAGATATGGCAGCAGGTGGATCCTGGGCACTCACTGGCCAACCAGCCTAGCCTAGACAGAGGGCTTCAAGTTCAGCTAGAGACTGTCTCAGAAAAAAAAAGGAGACATCCAGTGTCTTCCCCTGGCCTCAGAATAGATGTGCATGGGCATTGTGTAGCTCCACATACACCACGTGTGGTGGAGGGAAGAAGGGGTAGGAGAGAGAGAAAGAGAGAGAGAGAGAGAGAGAGAGAGAGAGAGAGAGAGAGAGAGAGGGAGGGAGGGAGAGAGGGAGGGAGGGAGAGAGGGAGGGAGGGAGGGAGAGAGGGAGGGAGGGAGGGAGAGAGGGAGGGAGGGAGGGAGAGAGGGAGGGAGGGAGGGAGGGAAGGAGGAGGAGAGAGGAAAGAGAAATGGAGTGGGGTTGGGGAGACTTGTCTCTGCACCACTACTGAGAGGGTGGTCAGACAACAGGAAGCACTGTCCTTAGCATCCCTCTGAATTCCTCAGAGGTGTCTCCTCATACCTAGAGTCTCAGAACACTTCTCAGCAGGGAAGTTGCATCATAGACATCATGGAAATTCTGGAATCCTTGGTCTGTGAGCATAAGGTGTCGGCCAACTGGGTCAGCCAGACACAGAAGATGACTGCAGTCTGAGGCTGTGCGGGCCATGAGGGTATGCTCCATAGGACCTTCCTTGAAGAATATCCTACTGGATATCACTTGAGGGGTACCTGGGAACTCTACAGCACATGTTCTTAGTGACTTATCTGGTGGAGTCCAGAAAGGGGTCAACATCAGAGGGCTGCAAGCATCATGAGTAAGGACTGGAGTATCTGCCTGGCAGAACAAAAACCACTGAATGCTAAAAGGGGGTTGCTCACCACTGTTGCTTATCAGACGGCGATACATTTTGTTCCCAGTATTTTCTCACTGGCTTGCAATTAGGCAGTTAAGGATATTCTTACATTGCATTCAATCAATTTGAGAATATAATGTCCACTAAGCCCTCCTGACAAGAGGTGCTGGGCTACAATGGCCATCTGAGAGGTAAGTGGAAAGAATTCACTCACGCAGTGGGTCTCAGAATCCCAGGACTTCTTCAGAAACATCAGCCCCTGCTAGACCTTGTACATAGCTCTTGCCCAATGGTCAGTGACCACTCAGGCTGTCCCCATACTCTCCCTCCACACACAACACATCACTGCTGCTTTCCCACTGACAGAAAGCAACATACATGAGAACAGCAGGACCACTTGGAACTGGGTTCAAATTCCATATCCACTGCTCATTAGCACAGGAACCCCATGTCAACTTAGGTTTTCTAGTCTTAATAATCCTGTAGACTTGAAGGGATATATTCTTTTTTTTTTTTTTTTTTGGTTTTTTGAGACAGGGTTTCTCTGTGGCTTTGGACGTTGTCCTGGAACTAGCTCTTGTAGACCAGGCTGGTCTTGATCTCACAGAGATCCACCTGTGATCTGCCTCTGCCTCCCCATCCTGAGTGCTGGGATTAAAGGCATGGGCCACCACTGCCCAGGGAAGGGATACATTCTTAAAAACAATCTTTACATGAAAATGAAAAATACCTGGTTCCTAGGACTTTTCGTAATGAGAATCAAAGAAAAAGCTTCTTGAATCTCTGCCCCACCATTGGTGGTCAATATGAATAGCTGGTGTATCTTGGTTCAGGCTGGTGCCGCACTCCATGTCCCAGTCAAATTGTCCAAGTACCAATGATAGTGTAGGCTGATGCTCACCTATGAGCTTCAGGGGACTGGGTTTAATTTTGAACTCTGATTTCTCCAAGAGTGTACTGGAGCTGGGGGATGAACCTAGGCGGTCCTTCTGGATCCAGCTTTTATAATCCCCATTTATAGACTATATTATATAAGCTCAATTTCTGGTACTTTACAAAATAAGGCATTAAATTGTGCCAAGGGCAATGGAACAAAGTACTACAGGTGTCTCCAATAAGGTTTATGTCAGCTAAGTCTTGATGCTCTTGCAGAATTGAGGGAAAGATCACAGGGTTAAAGTGGGCTCTCAATCTTCAATGTGCTTCCATTTCTACTTCAATTGTCCAAACAACAGCACCTTGTCTGCCACCCCAGGAACTTTCCAGTCTACACCAGAGTCTCTGGTGTGATTCCAGGACTGACAATGTACAGATAGTAGGATTTGAAAATCCTTCATGTGGGGAACTCTAGGTAAGGTGGTAGACAAGGTGAGAGCCAGTGAAAGATGGGACTTGGAACAAAGGAAAATGAACTATTTTCCCAAGAGAGAAATAGAGAAAGGTCTTCTGAAACCCGTGGAGGAAGTCAAAGAGCAGGAACTCTGGGGAGGAGCAGGAAAAAGATGGCATCATGTTTGGTGCCAGGGATTAAGCCCTCACCACTAGGCTGTCCTAAAAGAAGATTCGGCCCCACCTTGCAAAACAGGAAAACTCAAAGAAATATTCAACAAATGGATGCACAAATAACCACACAGAAGTGAAGACAAGACTCCGCCAAAAGAACCTAACTCCACTTCTGAACCCAAAGACACTGAAATAGGTAACACTCCAGATAAAGATTTGAAAAGCTCTCTGGTAAAAATGGCCAGTGACCTGGAAGAGGATATGAATAAGTGAATGAATTTAACTCAAAACTTAGGAAAGTAAGAAACAGGAGAAAACCAGCAATGTGGATGGGAAAAGTCAACTCTCCCACCCCCAGCATCTTAGGGAAAGGAAAGGTTTATCTCGGCTTACATCTTTGAGGGACATCATGAGAAGAACCCAAGCAGAATGTAAGCTTTTTTTTGTTTTGTTTTGTTTTGTTTTTACTAGACAGGGTTTCTCTGTATTGTTTTGGAGGCTGTCGGTCCAGCCTGGCCTCGAACTCACAGAGATCCGCTGCCTCTGCCTCCCGAGTGCTGGGATTAAAGGTGTGCATCACCACCGCCCGGCTAGAGGCTGCTTACTTAGACAGCCCAGGATCACCTGACCAGGGAATGGTGCCGCCCACAGTGACCTGGCCCTCCTACAACAACTAACAAGACAACCTCACCCCAGCCCCCAGACAGACATGCCCACTGAGATAGGTTTGACCTAGTTAATTCCTCATTTGAAGCTCTTCTGTGAGATGACTCAAGGATGTATCAAGTTGACAGTTAGAGCTAAATATGAAGGTTTAAGAGGTCTCCTTTTTCTCCAAATCCACATTAACATTTAAAAAAAATATATATATATATATTCTCACTCGGGTGGGCTAGAACTTAACTGTAGTTTTCATTTGTGTGTCCTTAGTGAATGAAGAAGTGAGTTTCCCCCCTCCACCCCGGCCCAAAGTTCTTGATCATTTATATTTTTTCTTAGTTACTGATCTATTCTGGTTTTTCACATTCTTTGGACTACTTGTTTTTAACTTTCTTGAGTTCTCTTTGTATTCCAGAGGATGTTAACTGTGAGATGAATAGAAGGCAAAGTCCACCTCGCTCAGCTGTTTGCTCGCTATGCAGGGTCTTTAAACCTTGATGCCGTTCCAGCCATCAATTCCTGCCTGCTTGCCTTGTACTTTTGGAATCCTATCCAGGAAATCGTTGTGTGTTTCCTGAATCAGTCCCCTTGTGTTTGCTCTAATAGTAAAAGTAAGTTTTTAAGTCTTATATATTAAACTCTCCACTTTGATGGGGCGTGGGGGGGTGGTACAGAGCAAGATAAGGTCCTAGGCTCAGTCTCTTTACATGTGGCCATCCTTTTTCCATTTACTGTTATTAGCATAGAAGCCAGAGTTAAACTTCCACCTTATACTTTTAGACAGGGAATCTCACTGAACTTGGAACTTGCTGTTTTAGCGAGGTCAACTCACTGGCAGGTGGGCTCCACCTGCCGCCACCTCCCAAACGTTGGGGTTATAGACACGCGTCACCACCTCCTCCTTCACGTGGCTCAGCTCCTCACACTTATGCAGCCAGTACGTGACCCATGGGGCCAGCTTTCTTGATGTATATTTTTAACACAACAGATGACTAAAGACTAAGTTGTGTTCCACTAGTCTGCATGCCTGCTCGTATCCCAGTGACATGCTGTCTTTATAACTATGGCTCTGAGGTATGTTTTGAAGTCAGGTATTACGTTTACAGTTTCGCTTTTTTTTTTTTTTTTTTTGGCTTAAGTTTCCTTCACTATTTCAGGCCTTTTGTGCTACTATGTGAATTTTTATGGGGGGAAGGGGAGAGGGATTAAGGAAAACTTGCTTGAATTTATAAAGAGTGGATGAAGTCCTGAGTGCATGTGTGTTGTTTGGCATGGTCACCACCATGTCAATGAACCCAATACCCCAGACCCATCAGAATGGCAAAGTCTTCCTCTAGTTGAGTGTGAATGTGGACAGTGTTCAAGCACACACGTTTACAAACTACTGACAAGTGTGTGCCAAAACTAGCAACTGCAGCTTCCTCCTCCCAGGTAACTGCAACCTGAGACTACTAGAGACTTCCTACAGATACCGCCTCCACAGAGGACATTGGGTCCCTGGAATTGGAGTGACAGACAGTTATGATCCTTAGGAAGAGCAGCAAATGCTCTTAAATCGCTGAGCCATCTTCCCAGCCCATACCTTCATGTGTGGGTTCTAGATCACCCATTCTTATCCTGCTATCCCCACTTAAAAGCATGGTCTAGACAACCTCACCACGGGAGAGCAGTGTGGTCCATGCCGCTGCTGAACCACAGGATCAGAGCCCAGCAGAACTCTCACCAGTCATAATGTTCTCCCGACATCTCTAGAGATTCAGATTTTGAGCTGGGGCTGAGGTGGGAGCTGTCTCCTTCACTGGCTCCTCACTTGCTACTGAGGTCAACAGGAGAGATGAATAGTCTTGGTTCAGGACCAAGACTCCATTTCCGAGTGATGGTCTGGGGCTGTTTCTGGCTACACTTTGTGGAGGGAGGCTGTCCTGGGCAGATGAGGTATACTCAGAGCATGAGGGGAGCCCTTGTGAGTACCTCAGACACAGATGGAGACTTTTAGACACCAGACTGGTCCAGGTCTGATTCATTTTGCCTCTGGCCCTGAATTCCACCTCAGTCCTGTCTGTTTCTGGTTGTGCAGATGGAATGCTCAGTACTCAGTGAGGTGGTGAGAAAGTAGCTATACAAAGCTGAATACTTTTCAGCCTTCAAAATGAGGGCTTTGTTGGCATAACTTGTTGTGACCAGTCAGGGTTCGCCACAGTCCACCTCTGGCTTGGTGTGGACTCTAACTTTGACCAGGATGTTCCCTGGGGAGGTTGAAGGAACAATTTCAAACACTTTCAAATGTGCTTCCTGGAAACTCGTTGATGGGATGACAAGGTAAAACCACCTATCAACCACTATTAACATGGAGAGGCTAGGGAGACGGCTCAGTGGGTAGAGTACTTGTTAGAGAATCAGAATTCAGATCCTCAGTGCTCATGGGCACAGCAGCCTGAATCTGTAACCCTGGTACTTGGGGCAGGAGCCCAGGGATCTGTGCTCGGCCAGCCTAGCTGACACTGTGGGCGACGAGATGGGTAAGATATCCTGTCTGAAAAGACAAAAACAGGCAAACAAAAAAATGGTATAGAAGCAATCGAGGAAGGCATTCCAACATCAATTTTTGGCTTCTACATATATTTTCATTGGTGAGTACAACTGCACATATGTGTGCACACATGTATAACACCCACACATAATAATGAAGTGGCACACCTCATCTCTCCAGCATGCTCCATAGTGAAGGAAGGGACATGGAAACTCACAATCAGATTCAAAGGCCATACAGAAACAAGGCACGGATGCACGGTGGTTCAAATATCCAATCTATGTCACTCAAGAAGAAGGGAAGCATGACTGGGATACCAGATAATACTAAGAAGAACATGATGTTGGCATCCAAGAGTAGCTTCAGATTCTACAAATAGAGAACAGTGACAGGGTCCTTGGAGTGACATAAAAAATCCAAAGTATCCAGAGTAGTGACTGGCTCATAGCCAATGCTCAAAGGGGGATAACTAACATAATCTCAAACTGGAATTATCTAGGAAAAATCCAAGAGGGGTATTACTCTACCACTCCATCTGTATTACAGTCTTAAAATTTTAAGTTTGTGGGGGGGGCTGTGTGTGTGTGTGATAGAGCATATGTATATATGTACACATGCATGTTGAGGTCAGATGTCAACATTGGGTGTTGTTTCTCAAGGCTCCATCCACATTGGTTTTTAAGATATGGTTTCTCACTGGCCTGAAGCTTTTCAAGTAGCCTAAAGTGGCTGACCAAGGTGCTCCAGACATCCACCTGTCTCTATCAGCACATCACCATCCTGAATTTGCCATGCCCAACTTTTCACATGGGTTCTTGAGGTTATACATGGGATCCTAGCGGTCCTATTGTTCATACGGTCTCAACCACTATTAACATGCCACAATGAAAGCAGGTTTTAACCTTCCTACACACACACACACACACACACACACTTTCAGACACACCATATCTTAGAACTAACACCTTGGGGTTAATCACATTGGTCTGACTTTTCACGCCTCTTGGAAGGAGATGGAAATTCATAAAAAGTAGGGGAAGGAGATGAGGCCAGGATGATAGGCAAACTTGGGAAGCAATTCAGTCATTCCCAACAAGCCCAGTGTCCCCAGGGTTGAAACTGATTGCAGACTACATGCTAACCCCTCAGGGTGGAGTGCTCAGTGTCAGTCTAGGTGGACACGCAATTATGGAGGGGCTCAGAGATGAGTTGAGTGTGTTATGTGGGAGATGGTGCACATCCTATCATGAGGAGTACACAAGCATTTTTTTTTCTGAGATGACCCATCGGAAGTAGTGAGGGAGACAGTTCATTCATTCGTTCCCTAAGTGTCATCTTCCCAGACTAAGAGAAGATCTGAGCATCAAACTGAGACTCAGTCTTGACTTTGTACACTTTGGGCATCTCCAGGAGCTGCCAGAGGGTCTGAGGGTCTGAGAGGCACAACTTGGTCCAACAGTCCACTGTTTCAGTCTTGTGCTCTTTACATGACAGACAGAGAGAGACCAGTCACAGGGCTCACAAGCAGAGATCATAGCCACATCTTCCGCCCTCTTGGAAGTGACTGGATAGAAAAGTGCTGTGCTGAAACGGGTTAAAAATCTCACCCCCGGGATTGTGCTGCTTAAAGCAGCCTTGGCTCCCAAGAGAGAGCCCAGAGAGCATCAGCAATGGGCACCAACTGCCACATCAGCGGAGCTGGCTGGGCTTGTCTGCACAAAACCAGCTGGTACCAAGACTCCAGTGCTCACTCAGGATAATGGCATCTACAGGGTAGTGGCATGTACCCAGAGGCCTGAAAGTTCTTATTTGGACTGAGCAGGACAGATTTTCTCAGCTACTACTGCTGCCGATCAACATCAGTGCTAATCAAAAGTCTCCTCCTAAGATGGATTCTAATATTCTTCCTGTATCTCAAGTCAGCCTGGCTCCTAGAGCCGGCTTTGGCAAGCCTCTATCCTCTTACCATCACAAGAAGTAGCATCAGCTTGCTGCCCAGAGCTCTGGCCTTAGGGATTTGCACACATCTGTTCCCACCTGCTTTCGCATTTATCTGCCTCGGGACTTGCCCTTCCCAACAAGACAACACATCCACCTCCTACTTAAGGATGTACTCACATACACACATTTTAAAAAATCCTGAGAAACCGGGCCAGCAAGACAGCTCAGCAGGTGAAAGTGCTTGTGGGCAACAAGGTTCTTGACCTTAGTTTCAATTCCCAGAACCCGCAAGGTGGAAGAAGAGAACTGACTCCTGAAAGCCGTCCTCTGATTTTCACATGGGTGTAGTGGCGTGTGCACGCACACACATAAATAAGATGTGCTTTTTTAATTCCTAAGAAATTTACTAAAATTATTTAGAATCAGTGAATGAGTTCATCAAGGTCATGCAAGACCATGTTCAAAATGATATTTATTTATACTTTTTTTTTTTTTGGTTTTTTGAGACAGGGTTTCTCTGTATTGCTTTGGAGGTTGTCCTGGAACTCACTCTGTAGACCAGGCTGACCTCGAACTGACAGAGATCCGCCTGCCTCTGCCTCCCGAGTGCTGGGATTAAAGGCATGCGCCACCAACACCCTGCCGGTTTATACTTTCTTTAAATTATTTATTTACTTGTTTTTAATTGTGTGTATATGTATCTGTATGTGCACATGAGTGAAGTCCCTGTGAAGGCCAGAGGAGGGCGTCAGATGCCCTGCAGGTAGCATTATGGGCAACTGTGAACCAGCTTATGTGGGTACTAGGAACCAAACTCTTGTCCTCTGTAAGAGCAGTACAACATCTTAACTGTTGAGTCTTCTCTTCAGCCCCTTCTACCTGCTTTTTTTTTTTTTTTTTTTTTTTTTTTTTTGGTTTTTCGAGACAGGGTTTCTCTGTGGCTTTGGAGGCTGTCCTGGAACTCACTTTGTAGACCAGGCTGGCCTCGAACTCACAGAGATCCGCCTGCCTCTGCCTCCCGAGTGCTGGGATTAAAGGCGTGCGCCACCAACGCCCCTTCTACCTGCTTTTAATGAGTAAACTAAAAATCAAATGGAGAAAGTAATCCCATTTACAATAGCATCCAAAGGAACAAAATGCTGGAAATAAATTCAACAAAAGAACCAAAAATGTTATGCCCTGAAAATACAAGGCATTGTTGAAAGAAACTAAAGAGCATCTCAGTAAATGGCAGAGCATAATCCCCACGACTCACCATGTTGGCCTATACATCCAACACAGTCCTGATCTTAGCTGACTTCTTTGTGGACACTGATAAGTCAACCAATTCTAAAACACATATGGAATTGCAAGAGATCCAGAATCATCGAGACAGCTCTGAAGAGAGCCAAGTTAGAAGATGCATGCACACTCTCTGGTTTCAAGCACACTAACAGTCAAGATGGTGTGCCTTAAAGACAGACATAGACCAATAGCACTGAATTGGGAATCCCTGATACACTTGCTCATCTATAGTCAATCTGGATGAGAGTGCTAATACTTAGATGCTTTTTCAAAAAGTCATGCTGGGGGTAGGGAGGTAGAATACCAGAAACAAGGAGTCCTTTTTTCCTACACTGCTTGTAGAGGAAGGAGGATCCCAACCTATAATCATCAATAAGATGTGACAACACTGCATTTAAGAAGCAAATAAACATAAGTGATGAAAATCCAAATACCAAAACACTCTGGGGCTACCAACCCTTGTTAGACAAAACCAAAATAAACCAAGATGTCTAGAAACTTGGGACTTTATTGGGGAGACAAAATTCTCTTCCTCTTTGTCTTAGGACTTAGGGACATTAGTATGAAAGATACCATCAGCCAAAATACCCAGGTGATGCTCAAAGACCAGTGTTGTCCCCTCCCAAATTCTCCTCTGAGGCCTTTGTTTTTTCTAGAAACAAGACACAGTCATTTCCTTCATCCTACTTTTAGACCAAGGAGCCAGAGAAGAAGGACAAGGACAGTGCTGCCTAGCCAGACAAGGCATGTCTTCAACCCAGGGAAGAACACTTCCTGACTTGGTAGCTCATTGTCTGAACTCCAAAAGGTCAATTACCAAATGATGACAAAGGGTCTTCTGACAGAAAGTGATAAGCTCCAGGTGCAGTGGGTCAAGGGGTTCCCTTCAGGGGGCTGCTGATACTCCATGCTGATATTCTCAAAGATTGTTCACCTTTATCCAAGGAATGATGTCAGCCTTACAGTGCTGGCTTGCCCAGTGACCAGCTACATTGCAAAGACAACGTCTGCATTTGCAAGTTTCCTTAAGGGTAAAATGAATTAATTAAACACTAACCATCTCAGTCTTTAGTGGGACTTTGTAAAAAAGGAGAGAGAAAATGGCTTGAAAACAATGCCATACAACAGGACTACAACACATTATTCAAAGCAACAGGATGCAGTCCATCTCCAGAAAGATATTTGGAGAAAGTTGGGGGGAGAATATAATATAGGTTGTGTAAAAGGTGATAGTAAAAAAATCTTTGTTCACTTTCTTAAAGGTAACAGTAGCATCGTAGTGATCTAACATTTCCAAGATTGTGCTGATTTATAGATATACATATGGATAAAACCATGTGACATCAAGATCTGCTTTAAAGACTGAGAAGAGGGGGACATAATGCAAGGGGGACAAAATGTTGAGACTAATGAGAAGAAAGTAACTTCATAATTCTCTCAAGTTCATATCTGAACACCTTCAGCATAAAACAACTTAAATAAACAATGTAGAGTTTTCTAGGACCTTAGTCTGCTTTCTGACGATTATATCCACAGTCTAGAAAATCTGTTTCCCTCACAAAGCTCTTCCCAACTAGTCATCCAGAGGTCAGAGGGTTAGGGAAGATGCCAGGAGAGGCTCCCAGCTGGGAAGAAAAGAAATAAAAGCAAGTGTCCTAGAAGAATGTTCAGAGAAGCTTAGACTGACAGGCTCCAGCATGGGCTTTGTCCTCAGAACCGGATTTTTATTCTCTGTGGTGCTGCTTAATGTGTAAGTGATTTTGCTTTTTAACACAAAGGTCACAGGGAAAAAGCAATTACAGACCACTGAGAGCCACTTTCCTTAGGGACAGCCTGGAGACCATCAGGGATTCCCAGGCTTCACATTTTGTCATGGGTTTAACAGACATCCCAAGGACTAAAGAGCAGGAAAGGGAAAGGCAACAGTTAGAAAGAAGTTACAGTTTTCTCCAAGGTGAGATCAGTCCAGCGAGTCAGGCTCTTATGTGTGAAGTGACCCTGGAAATGAATGCATCCTCCCTCAAGCAGCTCCCTGGCCAATTAAGTACACAGGACACCATGCCTACTCCAAAGAAGACAAATGGGCCTATACACAGCAAGAGGTGATATAAGGGAGGGATAGAGGCTCGAATCCTCAACAATAAACCAGAACTGTGGAACTTCAGCACTTTGATGTGGGGGAAAAAGTATTCACTGCGCTGCTTTGAGCATCTCTTCGACACCAAGGACTTGGGAGATAAAACTAATTTGGGCGTGTCTGGCGTCGTGCATCTCTCATCTGACCTTGTCCTAGTCACACTCGGTAACTCGGTCCCTTACTCCACGAAGCTGCCCCCCTCCACCGTGCATTCTGTCTGTTTCATTGTGATTGGTTGGTGGTTGGTTGTTTGGAAGATTTTTAGTATTCTTTGTCGCGCCGGGACAGGGAGTGATGGAGAGAAAGGAATGTTTGTTTCGTCAATCATTTCTATCAGGGACTGAAGAGAGTCACTTTAGTAAGGCCACTACACCTATGGCTCCAAGACTTGGGGAAGGGGGAGCAACACACCGGGAGGCAACGGAGTCAGGGTAGGACAGAGGGGCCAAAAGTCCTGCGTGTTTGTGGCTCTGAGTTTTTCCTACTGCTCAGTCTCTCCTGGATAACGGTGGTGAGAGGTTCCCGGGCGACTTGGGAATGAATTCTTGGCGCGGGACCTTTCTCCGGCTCTGTTCACGAAGATTAGGCTCGTTCGAGCCTTTCTAGCAGGCTAGGTAGAAAACCCAGTTGCAAGCTGTGCGCTCTACAGCTGCTGGGCACTAGAACCCCATCATGCCCAAAACTAGACCCCATCAGTCACAGCCACACACTTCAGTGTCTTTCCTGCCCCCCCCCCCCCCCGAATTCCATATAGCAAAAGCCAGAACTCTGGCCACTGGTCCAGCTTCCAGATGCCGATTCCCCACTCTGCACCCTACAAGGCATCCAGTGTGAGCCCCAAGCCCCCACGCTCTGTCCTGGAGTGCCTAGGGTCCCCAGGAGGCAAGCACCCAGCTCCTGGGGTAAATCGACTGCCTCCCGGGACCCTCCCAAAGTGGGACTGGGCGGGGCTGCTGGTATGATGGGGGGGGGGGGGTAATAAGGGGACCTGTCAGCCCGCACGTCCTCCTGCATTCCTGACCAGAGCTGACCCAAGGGAGCCAAGGAAGAGATGGGATGGAGACCGCGTCCTCCCACTAGCCTTCAGACAGCGAGAGAAAGGGGGTGACCAGTATAAGGCTCTTACTTGGCTGCAGGGCTCCGTGGTAGCCAGGCTGGGACTGGGCTCTCAGCACTGGCCCCTCTCCGTGCCGATCGCCGAGGGTCCACCGAGAAGAGAGGCAAAGTGCGAGTAGGCGCAGGCCACAGTTCGGGGCAGGATTTTGCCCTGGGTTTTTAAAGAGAAACTCGCCACAAACCCCTCCCCCGACCCCAGCTCGCCCCGAAGGCGGCCTCCAGTTTAGCCCAGCCTCCATCCTTTGTTGAACTTCCTCGGCTTATCCCGGGATTGGAAGGGGCGGGGGGGGGGGGGCGGCGGGGGGGCGCGGCCGGGAGAGCCGGGTGGATCAGCAGGGTTGGGGCAGGCTGCGCTGGAGACCAATTCCAGACAGCGCTCTCTTCTCTTGTCCAGAAGATTCCGCACCCTCCAACATCCCCGCCCGGCATTCAATTCCCCCAGAGTATCATTTACCAGGATTAAGACCCACACTAAAAGTTGAAGTCAAAAACGTTCATTGTTTTGCTCCAGTTTCACGCACCTTCTCCGGTAGATGGTACTGAACAGTAAACCCAAACCGCTCGCCTTGCAGCCCGAGGATCACGTCTGTGCACCGAGGCAAGACATAAAAATTGAAACGAGGGCGGGAAAAGAAGCCAGCCGCTGGAATCCGACTGGAGCTTAAAACTTTATCACAACTGATAAAGTTGAAATTGCCTATGTGACTAGTGCTGGTCTTGCTAAAGGTTTCTCAAGCAAGAGGTTAAAGATGAACTAAAAATAAATCAAGCTGGGGTAGAGCCCTGTATCTAAATAACGTCCATCACGAAACCACCTAGCAATTCTGTTTACAAATGGAAATTCTTTCAAGATAAGGACTATACACAAACCAGCTCATGTAGTTTTAATTTGTCAACTTTATTTAAATGTTAAGTTCCGTCTCATTTTTAAATCTTGTAAATTGACAGCCTTTGAGGCAAGGAAGTTTAGAGAGCCGGGGTGACTAATGAACACCCTTGAATCTAGCGTGTGTGTGTGTGTGTGTGTGTGTGTGTGTGTGTGTGTAGGCCAGAGGTTGGAGTCTTATTAAGTCTCCATTTTTTCTTTTTTAAATAAAATAATTTAAGATTACTTAAGAAGTTCATGCACACATACAATGCACTTTGGTCATATTCGCTCTTCTAACTCCTCCCAGATCCATCCCCACCTCCCCAGTTTCATTTTCTCATTGAAAAATACATTTTAACTCAATGAGCCCAGTTGGTGCTGCCCATACATGCATGGGTGTGGAGCACCCACTGGAGCAAACAAACCTTAACAAAAAGTGACACTCCCTCTCCCAGAAACCATCAACTCTCAATAGGTCCTCAGTTAGGGCTAGGGGCTGAATAACATTCCCGGCTCCATGCTGGAATACTGACTGCCTTGGTCCAGAAGACACTGTTTCACCCAGCCCTTCCTGACCTCTGATTCATACATAATCTTTCTGCCCTCTCCTTTTAGATATTCCTTAAGCTTTGATGAGGAGGGGTGTGAAATAGATGTCCCATTAACGGCTGAGCACTCCGCAGATATTTATTCTCTGCACTTTGACCAGCTGAGTTTATGGGTTAACTGACATACACCCCACAGAAAAGCTTCTCTTATGAGGTCTAAGAGCTGTACTAATCAATGGGTATAGAGACATGAATGTTGAGGGCAGTCTGCTATAGCGAAATGACAGTAGTAGGTCCATGGACTCCCCAATCATGGATTCCTGGCAATGTTTACAGTATCAGGCATGTGCTTCCTCCTGTAGAGTGGACCATAAATCCAATCAGAAAGCAGCTGGTTACCCCCTTAACAGTTGTGCCACTATTACGCCCACCCATGGACATGTCTTGCCAGGCCTTGCCACTGTCGCTTTCAAGGTTCACGGATGGTAACAATATTGTTGAATTTTCTCCCTGGGCAACCTGCATCGACCTTCCAATACAATGAAGCCAGCCACCAGGAAGGAAATTTTGTAGTCAGTACCAGTCCACCACATCTCCTGGGTCTTACCATTTCACTGGGGTTCATGTGAGAGACTTCCTGGGAAGATAGGACATAGGCAATCCTTGGTGCCCAAACAGGGACCAACAGAATGGAGAATGAGTTGAGGGGGAGTGGAAGCAACATCCCTTCGGAGGTTGCTGGGACATCAGCTGAGGCTGTCCCACTGAGAGGGCAGCATCCCAGCAGGCAGGGCAGCTGAGACTCCAGCTGCAATTCAGGCCACGAGGGTATCAGACCCCTAGTACAGCCAGGCAGGCCAGAGCTAGACTAAACAGCTTGGGCTGGTCCACCAAGCCCACTGGAGTGAGGAAATATACAAGGCCCCAGGGAGATGCCCCAGGATGAGGAAGCCAGACTCAAACTGATGACAAATTCTGGGCTCTTTTCCTGTTCTATTAGACCTTGACACACTTTTTTGTATTCCCTTGGCATCTGGAGACCAGCTCACTTTAGAGAGCCATCCCAAGGTTACTTCAGTCTCACGGTTTGTCATGGAGTGATGGCCCAGGACCTTGCTCTACTGTCCTGTCTGACCTCTGCAAAATGGTTTCCTCACATAGATGACACGATAACGATAACTTCTGAGTGTTTTGTAGATTTACAGATTTACAGATCTAGTGTTCAGGGAGCAATTGACACTTTACCTTCAAAGTTCAGGGTGTTGATGTTGTGTCCCCTCTACTGGTCTCATTCTCAGCCTGTTTCCCCATCGATGAAGGGGTAGATGCTTGGTACAGTTTTTAAAGAAAACAAAACAGATTTTTCAGGGAGCATCTAAAGGACATACAGGTGCACCCAAAGGAACGAGGATGGGGAAAAATCCACACAAGATGCAAGGTAGGGCCTGGCATAGCTGCAAAGTTCTCAAGAGCATTGTGGTCTGCTAAGCCACATATAATACCTGACAGGGTTACTTTAAGACTTCTACAACACCTGGTGTCTGTTAATATAAAAGAGCTTCAGGTTTACTTGGACTCCTGGGATGTTGGTGGATTTCCATACACCACCTTACCTAAATTGTTTGTCCTCTGTATAACTTGACAAAGATGGGTCCTATATGGGACCAGGACAAAAAATGTCAAGAGACGTTTGAGCCAGCTAAGATTCTTCTAAGACAGGCTAGTCATGTGCCCCATTACTCCAGTAGGGACAACAGCTCTGAAAATGACACAGACATAATTCAACTTGCCCCATAAGGGGCTGGCAAACAGACTATATGGGTCCTATGCAAATGTGCCCTCACCTTTGAGGCCTCTTACAAGCATTTCTATGCGAGTGAGCAACAGGTAAAGCCATCATCAAGGTCTCATCCAACTGAGTGTAAAGTATTGTGACCCACAGAAAATTGACAGTGACTTGGGCAATCATTTCACCAACCCTGATGTGTAGAACTGGACTGAAGACAGACAAGGTGTGATGGTTCCTCCACATTCCTTACAATCATACTAGCACGGGGTTAACTGAAAAAAAAAAAGAATGGGTTATTAAAGCATCAGCAAGGGAGCTGGAGAGGGCTGAGCAGGCAAGAGTGTTTGCTGCCCTCTTGGGGTACCAGAGTTCGGTTCTCGGCACCCACAGCTCACAAACTCCAGCTCGGGGGATTTCCTCTGACCTCCATCGGCACCTGCACCCACATGTGCATATCACACACAAACATCCAAACACATAATTAATATTACATAATAACAGAAAAAGAGCTTAAATAGAGGAGATTCCCTGCACAAGTGGGAAGGGGTACTCCAGAAGTTGTAGTGTTGTTAGATTAAAAACCTCAGTCCCAGAAGTGGGCTACTTCTCCACTGGCCGTGGAGGCCTGAGACCCCATAAACCATGAAGTATACGTATGTTCCCTGTTGTCAGGTACATTCCAGAACCAGACAGACAGACACTACTGATAAGGACACGGGGAAATAAAGTTGGGATTGACCTGCCTTTCGTGGTGTCCCTTGCAGGTGCTACGTGGACTGCTGCAGGAAGGATGGCCAGTAACACTCCTGCTCAGCCGTGCATCTTGTGTGTTGCAGGCAAGCTGCCCCTGCTTGTACGGTAGTGGCGTGACTATAATGGCTGCAACCAGCAGCTTTCTGACGGGATTTGAGACTCCACAGGGGGCAGTTCACATCTGGTGCTGAAATCCCAGACAAAACCCTGTGACTGGGGAGAGCATAGACCTCTGGGGGATGGCTGCTATTATTGATCACACTGTTGCTGTCAGTTGTAACCCAGCATGGAAGGAAACTTCCTTTTGCCATGAATGGTATACTAGAGAGACTCATAACCTCTAGTGGGTTACTGTCATGCATGTTACTTGATGTAGGAGGGCCCTGCCAACTGTGGACGCCATTCCCCAGGCAGGTTGTGCTGAGCCACCCCCGAGCCTGTGAGTGAGCCAGTTAACAGATTTCCTCTGCGGTTTCTGCTTCAAGCTCTTGCTTGAGTTCCTTTCCTGACCTCCCCAATGACGGACTGTATCGGATGAGCTGAAATAGCCCTTGCTTCTGGTAGTGGCTTTTGGCCAGGATATTTTATCAGAGTAACAGAAAAGGAAACTATAACAGGTGGGGGGAGACTCAAGAAACTCAGGAAATAAGCACACATCACAAGTCTGAGCTTGTAAGATTCAGGAGGCCCCCTGCCCCCCAAGCAGAAAACAGCCGCCTGTGGAAGAGACTTGAGCAGCCCAGCCACTATGGCAAAGGAGGAAGAGACAGCACTGATGATGAGGAAGCCTTCATTTAGACGGAAATTCCACATGTGCTTGTACTTTTCTAGAAGTTTCCTTTGGGTGGGAAGATCCCAAGAGTTTCTCATAGCTGGTTCAGTCCACTTAGAAAAAAGCACTTTTCCACTTACCTACCGTTGAAGCTGCTGCTTGTGCCTCACCAGGGGCCCCTGCCAGCCCCACCGTGGCCTCCACCATCACTGCTCTCCCCACCGTGTTTGAGCACTCGCTGCTGCACTTTCAGAGGGCCAGGTTTGGCTCCCAGCTCCCACCTTACGTGGTTCATGATCTTTCATTGCTGTAGCTCCAGGGGGACCCAATGCCTACGGCCTTCACAGGAACCTGCACTCGTGTCCACACCCACGCAGACTGATACACGCGCACATCACTAAAAATAATTTTGAAGTTAAATTTAAAAACTAAGCTG